TATGTATTTCTATACTCACATTTGAAAGGTCCTTCTCAAGCTGAGTCGTTGAGTTGGTTTGCAATTGACCTTTGAAGACCACACCTGGATCACATACCCAGGAACATACTTTGTGTTTACCTTTTTACCAATTCCTTATGGCCATTTATGCAAGCACAAACAAAATAAAACCCTTCACTGTAACTGTAACAATGACTCATTTATGATGGAAGCATGTTTGACAAGAATCAACTGGTGGTGTGAGTGGTGAATTTCTTGAATGGTGGAACCTATTTTGTGTGTTGTAGTTACTATGATTTGAAATTACAATAATTAATAATAGCTTTGCTTTGAACCTTTGTGTTCATTCTCTCATTCCCCCCTTGAAAAAAATCTCAAAGTACTATTCATGTTTAAGCAATGGCACTTCAGTTCTATAAAAATCAAACATATTGTAATGCCCAATTTAATGTCAACATGACCGTAGTGCATTTGCTGTGCTATACTGCTTTAAAAAAATGCAGTGCACCCTCCTGTGCATAGTAATGCAACCCAGCATGCACAAACACACACGCATATTTTTATAAGTGAAAAAGCTGATTTGCAAGGAAATTATGAAAATGAATAATTGCTTCAGAGCAAAGTCTTTATAAATTATTAAAATTTCAAATCATAGTAAATACAAAACACAAAACAGATTGCACCATTCAAGTTCATGAAAAAAATCAGACTTAATTCTAAAATGTCTTAGAAAATATTAAAGTTCTAAGAATGAAAAATACATATGACACTTCTCGCTGAAATTATCTACAAAAATTTAAACGGGAGTCTGTATGTTGGGTGGTTCAAGCTATTTTAAAGCAAGAAAATGATAGGAATTAGAATGCATTTTTCCCACTGTCATGTACCACTGTCACTTAGAACGTGCCACTGCAACAAGTATCATGTACCGCTTATCATACTATCACATGCCACTGTCGTGTGAAAAATGTCACAGTACAGTACACTAAAGGCTCTAACACCCTTTCTCAAACTGGGGCAACCTACCAGCTGCACAACTTAATGTCGCAATCCAAAATGAATTGACATTGAAGTTAAAGTTGAACAGAGAATGGGAGCACGTAACAAAATTCAAACAGACTTAAGAATAGAAAGCTGTACAATGGAACAAAGGTTCCTTAGGTATGAAGATCAGGATCAACATGCTAGAGATTGTTTCAGTCACATCGAACTTGAAAATACACCTTTGACACCTTGAAAAGTTATTTCAAGATGTTTTATTCAATGTTTAAAATTTTTTGGGCACATTAAAAAAATATTGAATAATAAATAATACACTATTATTTTGTAATTCTTGATAGGTCATCTGTTGAAGATTTCATCACCGTGTTTCAAATATGAGGCAATCTGGATCTCAACTTTACTTTAATTACATTCTCAATTTTTACAGTTTTCTCAGGCATTATAGAATCATCTACAGCTGTACATGCAAAAAGTCTCCTTTTTTACTTTTTTTTTTTTCTTGGAAATTAGTTAAGACCTTACTTGACATGACTTGACGTGACTTGACTTGACCTGTGAATTTGTACAGTAGAATCATCATTATAGAATCATTTCATAAATCTACAACATTTTTATTGAAAACAGTGATCTTAAACTTACCCCATAATCATGATTTCAAAGTTTTGAACTGTGATACGAAACTTTTGAATGGTACTATGTCTATTGCAGTGGACACAAGTAAAAAAAAAAATACTTTTTGCTCTGACATCAGCCAACAGTGTATATAGATTTTTTGTGCTTTATCTGTTATATTAGTAATTTTGAACCGATATATTAGTTTCACAATATGTAACAATAACATATTTCCACAGGTGCTATGAGGATTTGATTGCATTTAGCTGCAAGAGCAATAGTGAGCTCAGGTGCTGATGTTGGATGATTCGTTCTGGATCACAAACCCCACTCCATCACTCCAGAGAATGCAATTCCACTGCTGGACAGACCAAAGCAAAATGTATGACAAGAGGGGAAGCAGCAAATCTTCCAAAGGTTTCAGGAGCATATCTAAGGAACTGCAGGGCTCTCTAGCCTCAGCTAAGATCAGTGGGTGAAAGAGACTAGCAACAAAAGTGGCATTCATGGGAGAGCAGCAAGGAAGACAACAATGCTAACTGACAGTGTTTTTCGGTGCACCTTCCTTTGAGGAAATAAGCAACTGAATATGCTTGTTATTACTTACTCAAATTACAGTCAAGGGTACTCCCAAGTCAGTGATGTCAGAAATCAGTGCAAATAGATGCACATAATCAAATGATTGCTTTAATCAAATGACAAATTTATTGACTATAATATGATATATTATCTATTTATTGATAAGATTTTCAGTGATAGAACTGATTAAAGAACAGGCATATAGAATCAAGATACAGGGATTAACCAAAAGAATACTGTTAACCAATAGGAAGCTTCAGGTGATTAGCTTTCTGGGGAATGGGGGTTGAAAACACTCAAAATACAAATATGGGATTAACCTAAACTATGCCTGAAAAGGGAATATAAAAACCTAGCACACTGAGCGGCATCAATCTCTGAACATATAAATGAAATCGCCTGCCTTACATGGTAAAGGAAAGAAGCTGTAAACCTATAACCATTGCCATGGTGTAACAGTTTGAGTCATTCTATCAAAACATGCAGAACAAAGGAATACAAAACAAAAACATTTTGGATATGTTTCATAATAGACAGTACGGACACCAGATTATCTAGAGCCCAATCTGCATAGTCCATATAGGCATCTAGGTAATGTTTGGTACAAGTGACTAAACCATGACATAATGGTTACAGAAAAGAACATAAAGATAAACATAACAGAGGTATAAAGTTTCTAAAAGAAAATAATCAAATGAGTAAGTTAATAAGGTATGCTAAACATTCAATACTCATAGCAACTACTGATAATAAGATACATGTTAAGAAATAAAACATGTAGAACAAGTAGATAGGACAAGTAAAACAAGTCTAATATCAAGACAAACATCACTCATATAAATAGTGTGGCGTTTTAACCAACATCGTGTAACTTGTGAAACAACAGCATTTCAGTTCCTACAAAGAATGATTTTGTCCCAGTAAATGGGACCTCGCCTGGTTAATAGAGCAGGTGCAGGGGAAGTATCATCTGCATGTCCATCATCAATTTGAAAGGGGACCCTATAGTGTTGTGCGGGGTTGCCCAGAGGCAACTTAACCTCCTACTCACAGTGGTTTGCTGCAACATACTTCTTCAGTATGCTGCCCACCTTTTGATTTCCTCGCTCTAGCTTGTTCCTGGGGATGATGGCCAATATAGAAACTGGCCTTCCCACCCTGCAGCTGCCAGAGCTGTGGCCATCATGTGGGGCCAGCATCTCACCTGCTGAAGTGCATGATGTATTGCCTTAACCCCTTTGTGTCCTGCACATGGGGAATCATAGGCATGCATCAGCATTACCCACTATGGCACTGAGACAGCACAAATGCACAATGAATTGAATAAGTCTTTCTGGCCCAGAATGGAGTTGAGGTCCTGTGTTGTTTACAAACCCGTGCTTAGATAGTAGTCAGAGAACCTTACTTCCATCTAGAATTCTTTGTTACCGTCAGGATATGGCAGGCATCAGGCTGTGCAGAGCTTGGTTTTCAGTGCCTGCATAATGGCATACAGCGTGTCCTTTTTGAGCATGTTGTATAGCAGCCGGGCTAGGTCGGCATAGTTTTCGATAGACTGGCAGGAGTAATTGCATACACCTAAGAAGCCGTGGAGTTCAGCGATATTGGTTGGTGCTGCAATACAAGGAATGCCTTACACATGGCTACTTTGTGGTTCCACCCTGTCCAATCCCATGAGAAGGCCAATGTAGGTTACCTTGGTTTTGCACCATTAGCATTTGAAAAGAGATATTTTTGCTCCAGTGGTGGTAAGTTGGCTGAGTATGTGATTTGTTTCTTTCAAGTGTTTCAAGTGTTCTAATGTTTGACTGTGCATCAGAATATCATTCACACTTATAAAGGTACCCTGCTCGAGAGCACTGGGGCACTCTTTGTTTGGACAGTGGAACTTGTGAGTTCAGTTTGCGATAGTCATCGAAGTAATCAGTAGCAATTTACAATTTGGTTTCAGCACCAACCAGAGTGGCGCTGAGTACATGCTGTTGCAGGGGTGGAAACTGCCCTTTCCCAACAGGTTATCTATGATCTCCTGCACAGGTTCACATGATGCCAGTGGAATCACTAGAGTTATATAGTTTAAAAAAGAGGTGATTAAATGGGCAACAAGGTATACTAAACACTCAATAATGATAGTATTTCCTGGTAGTGAGATACATGTTACAGAAATAAAACAAATAAAACAAAACTAATATCTCTTAAACCAGGATGATCAGCTAACATTTGAAGTTATTATGAGTTTTAGAGGTTTGACTTTCTTATCTCAAAGTTTTTGGACAGGCGTTGGACTGCTTGACTCACAGGATGAGTGTGAATTCCTAAGGCCTGTTTATGACCTTTTCAGAGTTCAACTCAGTGATCCAAAGGTGTGATAACCCCCCATCAGGTTAGCAGATGCCCAAGGCAGAGGGGTCATAAAGTGAGTTTGTGTGTTGTATTAATTCCAGTTTATGGCTGGTGCTCAGACTCTATGGCACCAAGAACCATTAGCTCTGAAGATGTGTTCCCACAAACAATCCAGTCTTTAGAAATAAACTCAGGTCGCTGCCTTCAACACATTAAAGTAAATCACTAATCAGAAGGGGTATGAATATTTTTTTGAACAAATAGTGTACATATCTGTAGCACGGCAGGCGCTACCCTGGGCTTAAGGAGGATGCTGGAGGCAGGGTTCACAGTTGCTGCAGCCATTAACTTTATTTTTACTCACCAAATAAACAAAAATCAAATGAGAGTTTGTTGCTCCGCCTCCTTGTCGCCACCTCCGCTCCGCAGCTCATCTGCCCAGATCGAACATGAGGCAAACTAACTAAACACTGCGGTGCCCAGGAGGTGGTGCCCAGGAGGCAGGGCTCGGGACTCATGTGCCGCAACCCCCCCCCCACTCGCTGTTCTGCCCTGGCTGTCCTCCCACGCAGAGTGCAAGCCCAGTCTTCCTGCCGCCTCTCGTGGCCGTCATCGAGCACAGGGGACGGGCGCATGACAATATTCAATGATTTTTTACATCTAAACATTAAGATGTTTATGCAACACACACAAGCACACACCTATAACACAAATATGTACAAAACGGTAAATTTGTTCTTAGGTAAGAACAGAATCTACACACACTCAAGAGCACAAATGTGAAAACAGTTCTGTGGTTTAAGAACACATCATGAATCTGACATAGACTTTTTCTTAGAACTTTTCTCAAGAACACATTTAAGAATAAACTTAGGAAGATATTGGAGAATGAGGCCCAAGGAGAATAGGCATGAAAGGTTCTGGCTAAACGTTTTCCTCAGAATTGAGTCACCAGAGTTTGATTTGAAAAGGTTCAACTCATTTTCCCATATATTTTTAGCATATTTTACAGATTATGCCATGTACCCCTGATTTTAAACTTGTGAGATATTTAAGAAAAATTTCAAATTGTGAAAGCCAGAAAATTGACACTTAAGGTACAAGACCATAGATAACTGCGCTCCAGTAAAATACAAAGGTTTGATCTGATGATGGTGAAGTGAATAATGTTGAATATTTTGTAACAGTGGCACAAGTCAAGGTCTAGGATATATCAGACAGTAAGCAATAGTTGGTTCTCGACATGTTAGATGCGGGAGAAATGGGCAGCTGTGAAGACCTGAGTGACTTTAACACAAGCCAAATTGTTATGGCCAGACAACTGGGTCAAAGCATCTCTTAAATGGCAGATTATGGGGTGCTACCAGTCAGCAATGTTGAGTACCTACCGACAGTGGTATGAGGAGGGACAAGCTGTGAACAGGCGACAGGATGTTGGGTTGCCAAGGCTCATCGATGCATGAGGGCAACAAATGTGTCACAACACATTTTATTGCACCCTGCTGGGTAGCCACAGACTGGTCAAAGTGCCCATGCTGACTCCTATCCTCTACCAAAAGCACCTATGATGGGTGCACAAACATGGAAAATGGACCTTGAAGCAATAGAAGAAGGTTACCTGGTCCGATAAGTCCCATTTTCTTTTACATCACATGGACAGGTGGTTACATGTGCAGCATTTACCTGGCAAAGTGATGTGACCAGGATGCATTTATGTGGACATTAAATTGACATGTGCCACCTACCTAAACATTGTTGCAGTCCAGGTACACCTCTTCATGGCAATGTTATTCCCCAATGGCAGTGGCCTCTTTGCTCTGCCACACTGCACACATCATTCGGGAATGGTTTAAGCAACATCATGAAGAGCTCAAGGTGTTGCTCTGGCATCATCTCAATCTAATCAAGTATCTGTGGGATGTGCTTGAACAACAAATTTGATCCATGGTGGCTTCACCTCACAACTTACAGGACATAAAGAACCTGCTGTTAATATCTTGGTGCCAGATACAACAGGGCACCTTTAGAGATCTTGTAGAGTTCATACCTCAGCAGGTTGGAGCTGTTTGGATGGTACACAGAGGTCCAACAGCATATTAGGCAGGTTATGATAATGTTTTGAATCATCAGTATTTGACTTAATACAGAAAATTAACATTTAGCATAATTTTTAATAGTCAGTTCGACCAACATTCAACTGGTTAAAAAGCCATCATATATCAATGTTATATCAGCATTGTTTTCTCAACCAAAATTTTAAATACTGTTTTTTGTCATTGAAAACTGGTTGTGTTTAGGTCATCTGAAGTCGGGACCAGAATCCAACAAGAAAAGACATCAAATCAGTGTTGTGTGCCCGCTGGGACTGATACATTCCTTGGTTGCGAGGGTTCCCACCTATTGACTGTCAGCAGGAAGAGAGTCCATACCTCAAATAAGAACATGAGTTCAGCTAAAACACATACTTTGCTAGCTTGCTAAAACAAATGTCCAAGAAAAAAAATGGAAAATTGATTCTTTTTTTTTTCATTCAATTTAATAAATGGCATAAACACATTTTGAGTTTTTTACCTTGTTTTTTTTTAATGCACCTTTTGTGACTGTGGTTGGCAATACATTTCAGGATGTCCCCAGCCCAGCAGTCAGGGTTCGAATTGAGGTCTTGGGGTTTTCCTTACCTATGTGACCTATGTAATGAATAATGCTATTTTCACAATATACACTGACCAGCCACTTCATTACATACACCTTCCTGTATCGAAACATTTTCAGTTTATCAGCCCCATTCACCTTATAGGTGCACTTTTGTAGTTCTAAATTACAGTTTATCAGGTTTATCTCATGATGCAATAGGTTAGTATAAACATTATGTTGCAGATTTAGGCTGGCCAAGTTTTCTAGGGGCAGGAGTCTAATGCTGAACACAAAGAGCACGTTTAAAAGAAGATGGTCACCTTAAGTGAAAGCAACTTTGGCAGAAAATAACACACAACCCTCGTTCAATTTTGTCTCTTTTATGGGGGGTGCCTTTACTCCTATAGAAGGATCAGGACCAACAAGCAACGCATCAATTCAAACACTGCAAATCCATTAGTGGGTTGGGCAGAAAACAGTTGGATTCAGCCTGCACTAGCATTATTATATAAATAATATAAATATCATTGTCAAAACAAGTGGATAAAAAAATACACATACCCCCATACCCCATTTCCCATACACATACATGCTACATAATGCAGTGCATAAGAAATTATTGAACACTTTCTGATTTTCTCTATTACTGTTTTTTACACTAAATGCTTTTAGGTCTTTAAATGTAACATTACACAAAGAGTACCTTATCAAACACAAAAGACATTTTTTAAATTATTATTTCATTTTATTAAAGGAGCAAATTCATCCAACTTGTGAATTACCAGTAAAAAAGCTAATTGCTCCCTTATTTACTTAAGCCATAAATTAATCATGTTTAATCTATAATGAGGTTTAGCTGCCTGAACATAGTCAGGCTGTCTACTCATTTACATGATTTTCCTTTATATATACTATATCTATAGTTTTTGTGATGTTATTACAATGAACTATCCGAGAAAGAATATTGTTGTTTTTTTCTCTTCAGAGATTTTTGAAATTACTTTTTTCCTACCATTTTCTTCAGATTGGTTTGAGTTGGGTGGGACTAAATTTGGTGTAGGTGATGTCAGGTGAAGTACCAGAGTTAGCAATATGTATACGTTGACTACTCATGTTCCTGTCCCTCACTTAATGACTGCTCTATTTCTGCTACCTGGTCCCAGATAAACCTCCCACCATGTATGTTATTTAAGCGTTTCTAAATTTGTTAATGGTGGTTGTTATAAAGGTTTATTACGTGGTTATTTGCAGCATTGCTATACACTGCTTCCTACTTGCATTAGCCACCTATTTTAGGATCCTACCATAAGCAATTAACTTCATCTTCGAGAGCACGCTAGCTAGCAGTCCATCAACTGTAGGAATAAGATGTTACATTAGCTTAGTATTAAGTCAGCTATGGTCCTAACATCAAGGTTCATAGTGTATCCTTACAACTGCACTTTTCAGGCGTGGCGTACAATAAGACACATGATAAATTTCTTTGCAGTGTCCACATATATGACAGTGCTATCTCATAATGGGAGCTTGTGTGACCTCATATTGTCTGTTTTCCTGCAGGGTGGCCCCTGTTTTTCAAAATCAAACATGTATGGCTGAACCACACCAATGAGCAGACAGTAGCTCAGAATTTGGAGCAAGTATCTAATATTAAATTGTGTTAATATTATATATTTTTTTAATATACCACTGGTAAACACTTTTTAAATGCAGTGTCTTTACTATTAAACCTAAACCCATGTTGACAGGGCTTTAAATAGACTGCCAGTGCATCTGTTCATGAGCTGCAGCTGAAACATGTTCAGATTCTGCAGCAAGACAGTGATCCAACAGAAAAGCAAGTCTACATCTAAGTGGCTGAAAAGAAACAAAATTAAACAATGTGGAGTGGCATAGTCAAATCAAGCGTTTCATGCTCAAAATGCTACCAATATATCAGAATTAGAACAGTTCTGAGAAGAATACAGGGCTCAGATTTCTTCACAACAATGTGAAAAGCTGATGACAAATAGCAGTTGAAATGGTAGTAATTAATGCTGCTAAAGATGTGCATGTTGCTCCTTATATAAATGGAATAACTGAAAGAATGTGTTTTGTGTTTGAAAAGGCTTTCTTTGTGTAATATTACATTTCGCTTTAAGATATAAAAGCATTCACTGTGACAAATATGCTAGAATAGAGAAAATCAGGAAGGGGGCAAATGCTTTGTCACAATGCATGGTTCACTGTCTTCATAGCTATATGTCTGTCATCTTGGACAAACAAATGAGAGTAACAGATCTACTTCATTCTTTATCACTTCTTGAGATGGGTGAATGTCATCTGGTGAGTAGTGACATGATGTCATTTGCCAAACGTCAATAATCACGACCGGCAGCTCCCTAAACATCATCCTCAATGCCCAGTCCAGCTGCCATGACAACCAGTCGCTGCCATAAATGTCCTTGTAGCCCGTGTTGGCTGACTTGATCAGCACGAGGGTCTGTGGTGCCCTCTGGAGGAGGGCTTGGACAGCTCTGCGGATTCCAGCCAGCCTCTTTAGGTACGTGGCCAGTGGAAAGGTAGTGAAATGTGCCCAGATGGTAAAGACAACAACAGAGTGTTGACCTCCAGCTAGAGCGGCCACCTCGGAGGCAATGTAGTGTAAGTCAGCACGGGGGGTCAGGGAGGTCCGTATTGGAAGGCCATGAGCTCTCCATACCAGTCGAATATTGTTGCCTGTGTCCACAGCCTCAAACGGTCCAGACTTGGCCGAGGTGTACAGGTTTAGTTGCTTGAGTGCTACAAGAAAAGAGAAGGATGAGGAGATATCATGTCAGAATGGTAGAACCACATGGATGGTGGAATGTATTTTTCATACATTGTCAGGGAAAAGAGAACTAGGTTCTAGGTCAGGGGTCGGCAACACATGCTGTTTTGTTGCCCTGTTGCAGCTCCAGAGCAGAATTTGATTTTTAGGTAAAAATTAAATAATCCTCCTTTGCAGAAAAAAACTCTGTTGATCATTCTAACACAGTTTCAATAAGAAACTCTCTTAAACACTGGAGTTAATGTCTAACTGCTAATTCACCCTTTAACCCTGAAGGTTGGCGCACAGACTGCTAACTAAAAGGCAAAAAGAAAGATCTAAGACGAGCATCAATAATTTGGAGACGAATGGACTTATTTGCATTTATAAGCACTCAGCTGCAATGTTTAATCTGCACTGAGAAACAGTCAAACACTAAAAAGTCTTGAAACTGAAGTCAGGCTTCTCATTTGCCAGCTTCTCATTTGAATTTTCCTGTTCCACCTTAAATGGCACAGCAGTTACATTCTGGTGCATCCAGCACCATTTAAGGTGGAAAGGGAAAATTCAAACAAGAAGCTGGCTAATGAGAAGCTGACTTCAGCCTTCTGGTCCATACTGATATGATTTCATCATGTAATTGTTGCAGATTTGTTCACATTCACATTCCAAAGTTACACTATTGGATTCATATGTAGGCTGTATTACAAACTTCCAATCGTTTATCCTAGGTTAAAATCTAATGTTAAGGTAAAACTGTATTACAAAAGAAAATCTTAATTCAGGAATTATGTCTTATCTTACAGCATCTTATCTCATGTTAGAAAATCCAAGGTCAATGGTCAAGGTCAATAATCAATTGTTATGTCTGTCACCAAGCAACTGATAATATGCAAAGAGCTGAAACATAAACAAGTCATCAAAATAACATTAAAAATTGAAGTTGGTTAGCTACCGCTTATATATATATATATATATATATATATATATATATATATATATATATATATATATATAAACTAATGCAAAAAAAATCTTGTTTCTGCTTGAGACAAGGGATTTTAGGGCTGGTTAACTGCAACTGCTAAAAAAAATAAAAAACTATTTGAACTTCAAATAAATTTGAACGTAGTGAATACCTATATCCGCTTGTTTTATTTAGAGTGATGTTTGTATGATGTTTGTATTTTTATGTTTAATTCCTAATTTAAAAACATGCAGCTGTGCACTGTTTATGTTAACGCTATATTTTCATTAAAACAAGCTGAATTGCTTTTCTCTGTCCTGTTTCCTGTGCTTTGTATACATTATGTCATGGCATGTCATGACACGTTCTGTTTAATTTTTAAACAAAAATAAAATAAAGAAAAAATTATGTATATAGTGTCACCACTCCCCAGTTTCACTTTCCATTTCCCATGGCTTTAGCAGGTGGGCAAGCTGCATTCACCACATTCCTCCTAATAAACAGCCACACGTTCAAGTTAGTCTTCTTATTATTTACCATCATTACTATAATATTTTATTTAGTGAGTTTTCATCAACATTTCATCATCATAGAATGGCTAACAGTAGAAACGGAAACTTGAAACAGAAGTTAGGACACCACTGAGGTTATCCTAAAGTTAGAATAGTATTTAAGAACCTCAAGGATTGATGTTTTATTGAACCATTGTATATGAACTCTAGAGACTGTTATGTGTGAAAATTCCAGTACATCAGCAGATTCTGAAATACTTAAGCCTCCCTGTCTGCCAACTACAACAATACCCTAGTCGAAGTCCCTATTCTGATGTTTGAACTGAAATTAACTGAAGCTCTTGACCTGTATCAGCATGATTTTATGCATTACTCTGCTACCACATGATTGGCTGATAGGACAATTGCATGACTGAGCAGGTCAACAGACATTTCTAATAAAGCTGCCGGTGAGTGCATATTGCATTAACATGATTTTGCCAAAAAGTAAAGTACACAAAATTATTGCTGTTATATACAACAATTGGTTCATGTAAAATGATGTACAGGTATGAATCAAATACATTTTTATGCATTACTTTGTTCAATTATGTATGTTTTGCATATGTGACATACTTGGGACAGTTTTCAACAGGTACTCGTACCACTGTCTCAACGTGGAATCTCCCATCATCAGAACCTGCTTGTCTTTCAAGCATGCTACAGTCTGATTGGCTGTGCGGAAAGATTGGGTGTGGCACATCAGTGACGTCCAGTTATCATGAAGATAGAATCCAGCTGGTGAAGGCGTGTCTAGTCCTGGAACACACTTCACATTCATACCTTTACACACACATGCATGCACACACAACCACACACATGCACAGGTTTAGACAGTGAGTTAGACAGTTTTTGCTTTCCGTCATCTTTACCACTGTGCAATTTTTTCCTATACCAGAGGCAGATCCAGGCAAAGACAAGAATGGGGCTCTCTTTAATTACAATTCACAGCTAATTTAAAGGGGTATTTCATTTACTTTTAAGCATTTTTTCACAGTTAACTGATTAAATTGTGAAAAGTCATTCAGAGTAGTTTGATTTAAAATGCACCATCCTAGAGAATCTTACAGAGTCAGAATTGTTCACAGTGGTGGTGATAGGAGCCAGATGTCTAAATTGTTTAATGCCTTTAAAAGCTATTACATGAAATTGTTATCAAATTGTTCCTTGATGCATGGGACACTGTTTTATAATAGTTTCATGGTAATATTTTGGCCTAAAACATTAAAAAAGAAAAAAGGAATTTTGGCATAGTGGTATATGCAAAACCAGATTTACCACTATTTTACCATCATCAAAATTGCATCTAAAAACTCAGAAGACATGTGCAGGTTCAGTGGTCATTTTTCATTGCAATTAAAATGGATACATTTGCATTGTAGACATTATAACCCCTGGTTCCTTTCACCATTGTAAATACAGTTGGGCAAAACTCTTTGAAAAAGTAGTGATGGCTGAATACGGAATACACTTAAATGTATTCAGTTATGTATTCATTTACAATACATACAAAAGTAATTAATTTAATATGCACATAGAAAACATGTTGATAATCACATGTGGAAAACAATCAACAAGAAGAACAAATGTTCTTGGATTTTGGCAGTTGTCTGATTATTCAATTGGTCATGTAACAGCATATTGACTTCTTAAATCAGAGTAAGGCCTAGAAATCCGATAAAGAGAACTGGATTTTAGCTCAGTAACAGAAAACAGAAAGCTCATACATTAATAATTATGAATGATCACATTACAGGCAAACTACCAGGTTCTTTCTTTCTATTGTGCTGCGTCAGAATCAAAGCTTTGTGCAGGAACTTCTCCCTGTGCTGTATCAGCTTTGTGAATGAAAAACTACATTTGCATTATTATCAATTTTATCTAGGCTAAAAAATTGTCGTTAAATTACATTTGAATAAAGGAATCCTAATTACTAATTTCTAAGCTGAAAGATCCTGCCTTCCGCCCAATGACAGCTGGGATAGGCTCCAGCACCCCACCGCGACCCAGAAGGGTAAGCGGTTTAGATGATGTATGTATGTATGTATGTATGTAAGCTGAAAGAGCTGTTCATTTTGTTTAATTGTGTAAAATGAAACAGTCTCCAAATCCTGCTTCACATGTCCTCACTCCTAACAGCCAAAACAAGGGTTTTCACAGTGATTAAATATCAAATGAATAATAAATGTGCCTCATTTTAAAAATCCTCAATTTATGCCTGCTAAAAATGTCTGTTGTAGCACCAGAACTTGTAAAATAGGCGTAAACATTTTCTTTGAATATTTAAATTTTACAATCTGCATGTGACGCTTGACCCCCACCTCCACAATCACATTATTCAAATTTTATTTTATTGTTGCACTGAAAAATGTACACCAGAATTATAACTACTGTTTATTTTGCTGTTGCATTATCCAGAAGCATATTAATAACAATGTTTTTATAATACTTCATTTTACAGCCTCACGTTAGACACAGTGAGGTACACAGAATTTAAATAATAATAATACAAAAAAAACACTAATATCAGATCTGTATATGGTATCGACTGATGCCCAACGTTCAGGTATCGGAATCGATATCAAAAGAGAAAAAATGGGATCGGTGCATCTCTATTATTAAGGGCATAGTCTAGGGGCTAATTTTCAGTACTGAAGTATTTTGGTATGCTTCATTTTTTATACATTTTTAAAACATTTTTTAAAGAAAGTGAAAGATCAAGTCCCTTTACCTTGACCACTCTATGACCACTGAAACTAAACTGGTCAAAATGCTTTCAGCTTTGGCCTTTTTTGAGCAGGGACTTACCTGAGTCCAGATCACGGCGAGACACATTCACTGTGATATCTTCTCCAGGTAGATTTTTATTGGTGTATTTACTGCATACAGAAGGGGGGAGGGGTGGGTGGGTTCTGCATTAATTTTATTTATTCAAAGTATTCAGTACATGTGCATTTTAATTGTGGACACTGCATGTACACTATGGGCTGTAAATGTATGTACTGGCTTTACAGCATTTTGCAAGTGCAAAAGCACCCACAACTGATGAATCAGCATGTATGCAGAAGCATTTGTGCATGTGCACATGAAGTCTTCAATGAGCTACAGGTTTTTTGGTAGTTCTATTTGCATTTATTAAAATGGAAATAATGGAGCATTAAGTGGAGCTTCATCACTCCAACTCATCCCAGAGGCACAAATCCCTTGTCATATTAAACCTTCTCTTTTGCAAATTGTGGTTTTCACAAATCTCCACATCACAGATGTCCCTGAAGGCCTTCATTATGTGGATCATGATGTGTTAGATTAGGGTTGGAGCTAAATTCTGCAGGGTAGCAGATCTCCAGGAACAGGATTCAGCACTGCTGATCAACACAATAAAACACAAAGACCTCCATCACTCCAATACCACTCTATCCCATGAGCGTTACATGTACCAACATCTTCTAATGCAGTTGCAAGGTACATTTATAAACATCAGTTAGTTGTTTTACTTTAGATTTAATAAAGCTCAACAATTTCCTTAAAGTATTGTTTTAATGTCATATTTTAACCTATGTGGCCAGATGTTCAAGATATATTAAATAAATATACTGTAATAATGAAGAATATACATCAAATTATGAGTGGGTTTTCTCTCAACCTGGAGTGGAGTGGAAGCAGAGTGATTACAGAATACTTTGAGTTGGAAGCAGAAATGGCTGCTGTTCCACTCAACTCACATACTCATAAAAGTGATAACTGGTATTATGTTTACAAATTATGTATTCTAAGGACTATACATAAAGGGAGCCTAGGACAAAGCCTTGTGGAACACCATATTGCACTCATCGAGGTCTGAAATCTCCACATATACACTAACAAATTGGTAGCGGTCTGTTGGGCAACAACGTTTTCTGCAGAATCTTAAATAGAAAAGAAATGTTGGAAATTGGAGACTCAGAGAGCTCAAAGTGAGGTTCAGTAAGCAACAATTTCACAGAGGTTAACTTCAAGAACTTAAGCCCAGACTGTGTGATAAATTTATTCTACTTAGTAAAGACTCCCAAGTGACTGGAAATAAATCCAGAAGTAACCTATAGGTTACTGATTTAATACATAAGTGTTTGATCTATAGGACCATGTCAAGCAGTTAAGTTTGTTATGATTAGTGAAACTGAATTCTTCATTCTTCTGAATGCATATCCTCAAACTATAGTAAAAAATAATGATGACAGCCTCATGAATTTTCACCTTGTAAATAGCATGTTTCTATTTTGTTACTGAAAAAGTTTGACAGCTGTCATTGTAGACTATAACTGTGGATGGAGTAAACATGAACTTCTTTGAAATAATAAGCTAACCCTTGGGTTGCAGATGAGACAGTGATCAGATACATTTTTTGTTCATAGGGAATATAAGAACCTTATTTTCACTGCCAAATGTCTGGATATTTATTCACAGTCTTTATTTAAAAGACTGTTATCACATGATTTGAGCCATGTTTCAGTTAAACAGAGAAAACTAAAATGATTGTCCATGAACAAATTGAATACAGTCATGGCCTTCTGAGTGAGAGATCTTGTGTTCAGTAAACGCTGAATTAATTATTCTGTCTGTAGACAATTTTACTTGTATTTCAGGGTGAGTTGCTGAGACAGAATAAGAAAGACTTCTGGTGAAGGATGGATATATATCCAACAGATATTAAACAATTAAATGAGGGTTTCTAAACACTTTTGAGCTTGTCATAAGCAGTCACAATCATAGATAGCCTAGACCAGTTATGCAGGAAACACATCAGCCATCTTGTAGCTGGCTACATAGGCACTGTCTGCTGGCCGAGATTTTTAAACTGTTTTTATACTGTCAGACAGACCCAACTCTCTTGTAAAGTATGGGTCTGCCAATGGCAATTAAAACTTTTATTTTCAAGTGGAAATGAGGCAATTAGCCAGAGATTGTCGACTTACAAGCTCTTCCCAAAGTCTTAGCTAATGTCTTGAATGAAAACTACATGACAGGGAGGAGCTTTTTCCTACACATGTATGGAATAAGCTTCCAGTCAATGTTTGAGTTTAAAAAACTTATTTGTTCAGCCAGGCATTTGTTAGTTTTTCCTTTAGATAAAAGATGGACATATGGGGACACATGGGCTCAGAAAACTAAGGTAAACTGAGATGCTAGTGATCCCACTGCTTTCATTCAAGCTGGAGTGGAGTGGAGGGATGCTGACATTTCAGGGAGTCCTCCTACTTCTCCCTTTTTAGTTTAGCAGTCATTCCAGAGTCTCTGGTTGCTCTGGTTTGCATTCCAAATACAACTAACAGTTTTGTTTCTCTGTCAAGCAGTACAAGTACAAGCTAGCTAGCTCACTCACTTGTAGTTCCTCAGGCTCACATTAAGTAGCAAGACCGTATTTTGGTTTTCAAAAAAGAGGACACTAGGGGCAGACTGTGAAAAAACAAATGTCAACATGAAAGCAAAGCCAAATCAGACATTTTAGAAAATCTTGACACATTTGTAGGTCCCAAAATGAGGATGTACCCCAGAAAAAAATTACATAAGCTCATCCATATCTACCTATCTATCTATCTATCTATCAATCTCTCTCTCTCTCTCTCTCTCTCTCTCTCTCTCTCTCTCTATATATATATATATATATATATATATATATATATATATGTGTGTAGAGAGAGAGAGAGAGAGAGAGAGAGAGAGAGAGAGAAGGAGAGAGACTGAGGAGACATAAAAAGGCCTCATTTGAGAGCAAGTACCTCTCAATTCAAATGACCAACATTGTAAACTTATGCAATAATCTATAGCTAACAGCAACAAACAGATTAAAGAAAGTAACCAATTCACACACACATTTACCTGTGTAACAGAGTGGACTCCAGTTTGGACAGCCGTGCTTGGTATCCTCCCATGCCATGGTCCACCCAGGCTGAGCATGGCAGACGGCTGGGTTTACGACAAATCCATGATTCTCCAGTAATTGGATTTTTGTATTCACAGCAGCACTGAGAGGCCTTTAGCAACCTCTCACTCCTCTGGGCATTACACACCACTTTTTCCTGGCGATCAAGCCTTCTGAACACGCCCGTGAAGAACACCTTGTCTGGATCTCGTTCTCTGTGCCTGAGTAGCACCTGTAATCCCAGCAAAAGCATCTCAAATCAGCACCATTACATTTCATTCCAGTCTCGTCTTCAAGCTTCGATCAGTTAATGTGCAGTAAATGCATTTAATCAATTCAGATCTGTTACAGCCATAGTTTGTGTAGATACATGGTAAGTGCACCTATAAAAGTGGCTGGTGAGTATATAGCACTGTTGAAAACACTATTCAAAGCACTAGCCTACACACCTCTACAGCCTCACTGGAGTGTATCAGCCGTATTGAGACATTGGCATGTCCTTCCCAGAGCAGCTTGAAGGTAGCAGTATAAGTGCCATTGTGGTGGTCAACCACCTCCCCATATACACTTGCTTTTAGTTTTGCATTAAACAGTTTTGCTTGGAAGAAATCTCCGCCGTATGCTTTTGAGTTGTTTAAACCATCTCTTGCCGTTATGACCACTGTGATATTGTCCCCAACACTGTAGCTTTTGCGTGGGTTCTGCAAAATGTATGAACTTGTGTAAGCGTTCGTTGCCTGATCGACTGCAGTCACTGAGGTGGGAGGGGCTGGCCACTTCAGTGCCTTTTCTATCAATTGAAGTTCTTCAGGTGAGATGAAGGTGGAGTCAGTGGGAGAGATGTGAGCAGAGTCAGACTGGGAGGCAGGTCGAGAACTACACAAGTTTGCAAGCTTTCTGTCCATCAGTGGGACTGGCCTTCTCTCTGGTTTATGAGCAATACTGACCAAAAAACTCACAGGCAGTTGTTGCTGCAACAAAGGATCAACAGTGAGTTAGTCAGCACTACAAACAGGCCAAAAACATGCATGTACACTGGCAGTCGAAGAGAATTGCTGATTGCACGTATTTCACACAGGGCTGTTTAGCAACTGTTTATTTGTGTTTATTCTGTCTGTCAACTTAACCCCTTAAATTACAGATTAATTGCATACTAAGGCTTATTATCCTGTAACTACAGAGACTTCAATGCAAATGTCTAATTTTAAAAAAAATGTACAATGTAAAGCTAATGTAAAAAATTTTACCCCAAGTGGTGTTTGAGCATTTCTATTGGTCCATGGATCATGACATTTTCACACAATGTAAAGGACAGCTGCTGAGTTTAAATGATTGAAAAAGACAAAATAATGGACATACATGCTTTTTCTGAACACCGATGATATGTAGAACCCATTTTACTTAATTCTCGCCTCTCACAGGGGAACAATTCAAAAGCAAGTTGAAGTGCAAAAGTCTGGTTTAGATCACTGGTTTGAAAATGTAATACACTAATTCTTAAAATTCTCAACAACATAAATAGCTTACGAAGATATACTGTATAATATTTAAATCACACTCACACACACAAATAGTACATCTCCTATTTAACATTCAAATGTCAATAACCTAAAATAGCAATTACTTTACTTGAGGCAGTCAGTGATGGCATTTTAAATGTTCATAATGTTTTCATAACTGTTAATATGCATTATAAATGCTTTATAATTATGCATAGATCATTATCCATTTAATAGGCATTTTAAAGAATAGTGACACTTGTCTTATTTGAGCTTTATGAAGTTTATAGTTTAAGAACATACTTACATAGCATTATTACCAAGTGTCAAAGAGTTTGTTCACATTTGTAAAATATACATATTTATCACTGCTGTCGAAACAAAACCTCCTATCTCCAAAATAGTAACTTTACTGGAGAAGGAAAAAAACATACTTTACTTTTAATGTAAGTCAATGGAACCAGACATTTTTCCAAGTAATTTTGAGTCATTTCTTTTTGCCCATTTGTCATGAAATTTGCACAAAATGTAAAGGCCAACAGAAATTTTTAAATTATGTGAAAAATCTTCTCAGATGATTTATTTACAGTCTTCATTTGAAAGCCCTCAGCAGGACTGATGCTCTCCTCCTGAACTGAACCAACAATGTTTCAGTTTGATTCATCTTTGGAAATACTGTAACCTGAATATGGTCATTCCAATAAAGCTTACTGAATTGAATTGAATTGAATTGAATTGTTTGATTCATGAGTGCCTTAACTACTGTCACCATGTCAACCTTCCCAAAATTCTTCAAAATGTACCTATCAAGCAGTGCAAGTTCAAACAAGTTCTCATCAGGATACTTCTTTCAGATAATGGTACTTATTTATTTATTTATTTATTTATTTATTTAAAACGTAGTGGAGTTCTGTTGACAGTATTCAAAGGTTTACCTAGTATGTCAGTGAAGAACTGTTAATCAGTTGGTTTCCTGGTTTCAGTGCTGAAAAATAGCATGCCTTGTGTTGTAGTAATAGTGATTTATGTTCAGAACTTACCCCAAACCACCAAAAGATGGCTAGGCTGACAAAAGTTAAGATAATGACAAGCTTGATCAGCTTTTTCCATGCTTTCCAGTACATCTGCTAGAGAGGACACAGTATTACAACAAAGCATTAGGGTACCTTTTATCATCATCATCATTATCATCACCAACCAGAACATTAACATCACTAGGAGAGTAATTGTGCACAGAAATGTGCATTAGTTTGTTCTCTGTAAAGAGTGTGTTTTCAGTTAGAAATGTATTTAAAAAAAAAAGGTTATTCCACCAAAAGCACTAACTAATTATCAACCAGAACAAGTTTAGCAGACTAAGCCAGATGATGTATCCTGGGATGTGCTTGCAAATTTGCTATGATCTGTTCTCTGTAGAGATGTCATGTGACACTGTTAACATCCAGTGGTTATAAGTGTTTGTTTGTTTGTTTGTTTGCCCAAATGATGCCAAACTGGCATATTATAAATGATTAAGAATAATTAGAAGATGGTAAACTGTAATTATGTGGTATGTATATTCTACCATCAGGGAAAAAGCTAGGGTATGGCTCTGTAACGCTCTTATATGGTATTTTGTAACTGAATTTAGATAACAATTATATTGGTTATCATAATATGTTTTGCAGATAATAATCATTCATCTACATGTATACTATCATCTATGAATAGGAGTAAGACTTCTGTCTCAGTCAAACTGACAGCTCTTTGGTTTTACCCCTGTTGATGGATGACACAGGACCTTACATGTGTAACCTCATAGTTATACCCCAGGGAAACAGGAAATTATCGTAGACAACAATGAAGATAATAGAATGGAGAGTCAAGAAGCTATGAGAAAAGAAAACGATTTTTCCCCTAAGATGTAAATTTCTTTGCTTTTATTGAAAACATTCTTTAGGTCTGTAAGTAATTTTTGTCCCATATTTTTTGAAATGATAGATATATATATATATGATTGTTTTAGCCCAGGTTCTTATGGGTGACCAATAGTTCTGGAGCTGAATGTATGTTATATGGTCTTTTTGGTTACTTCTGTACTTTGAATAAGCCATATTCATGCTTACAAAGGCCTCATCATAATGGTTATGGGTTAAACTGAAATTTTGATTGGTCAATATTAATATTAAGTCACACATTTTGTGAGTTTATTTTTATTTGATCATTTTTTTTAATGAAATTTGTATCTGGAGGGCCAGTTTAGCGCTGAGAAACCCACATATGAGAAAACTTTCCATGCTTAACATGTTAGCTGTAAGATCCAGTGTTATAGAGACCCTGAGCTGAGCTGCAGTCATCATTTACAAATTAACCATCTTGTCCACCCCCTGTACATCCCAGCTGTCAGGAGGGAACCTCGTATTTCCAAAAAAGTAACATTACAGAAGAAAGAAAAAAGTTAAGTGAACTTTCAATGTAACTTAATGGAATTTTGACACAATGTAAATGGCAGCTGGCAGTTTCAGACATTTTAGATTTTGGTGTTTTAATGTTTTATGCTGGATTTAATTATTTATCTGTTTGCTTGTTTGGTTGGTTGGTCATTTCTTGGTTCTTTACATTTTTCATGTGTACATTTACAGTAAATACTGTAATTGACTACTGACTACTGAGTTGCATTATGTTTACAATTGTGTAAAAATACATCCAGTCCAGGAAGACTGTGAGTAACAGTATTGTAGTTTTATTGTTACTTACTGTTAATATAGTACAGCAAATTACTGTGAAAATAATGCAGCTAGTAACCAGTAATTTACTGCAATTTTACATTTTTCTTTTCCAATGTATCAAAATGACAAAAAAGGACATACAAGGTTTTAGTCTAACTTGAATTATTTAAATACCTGCAGAGTTTAACCCCCTTAAATGGCCAGGGCCTGCTGTTTGATCACCCAAAGTTTGATCACACACTTCTATAACCTAAGAATAGCTCAACTAGTTTGCGTTGAAGTCCCGGGAGTTACTGAATAACAATACTTAGTGTGTAATAAGCCTGGGATTTTAAGGGGTTATATACAAAAAGCATAATGATTATACAAAATAAACCTAAACAGAAATGACTTCTTAGATGGCTTAGAAGCCCTGATTTTCCATACTAGTTATTGGCCATACTCATTTCCCTAAATGAGCTAACTTGCTTATCTACAGTGGCTCAATTCAGATTGTAAGCATAATGCATCTCAATGACAAGTTAAATTAATAAATAAATGTATTTTAACTTACATTTGATTATGTTCTTCAAGCCAATTTAAGTGATTTTAGTCCAATTTGAATTTTTGGTTGGATGCCGCTGCTGAGTCCTCATCCCCAACGCGGAATAGTTAAAAAATCAACAAGCTGAATCAGGTGCGTTAGGGCGGAGAATAGCAAGCAAGCAAGCAAAGTTTATTTACTGAAACTGGTCAGGACAGTGGATTCCCAGAAACTGGACAAACAACTATTGCTCAATGGGGTCACTCCAAAGAACCCTTTTTATCAAACACTTCAAGGTGATGGGTTGAAGCCATCATGCGATGGCGAAAGAATTTGCTTAAAAAGAGATAGACAGTCAATAGCGGGAAGCAGGTCGAACGGCTTGACTCACAGGTCACCGACAGTAGCAGAAAACATTATCTGCTTGTTTGGTAACATGGAGAGCAGAGAACTATTAAGAGCAGAACTCTGCTCAAGCCTTTTTGAACTTTATTAACTTTATTCTTTTATTTTATTCTTTCTTTTACTTTTAATCAGTCCATTATTTTTGGGCCTTTATCCAATGATTTTGCATCATTAATTATTTTTCTTCAGCATGATAAAAAATTTTGTCTGACGATTTTTTTAAATAAATCTAGGAAAGGGATCTTTTGAACTGTACTTTTGGCCTTTATTTGGTATAAAACCTTTACATTATGTAGAGGTTCTTTAAACTTACATGTCTCATTTACAAAAATGGTTATTTAAAGAAGCATCCATTGAAAGGCTGTTCAAGGGAACTAAAAATAGTTATTTTTATAGGTCTGTCTATGAGGCTCCTCCCAGGCCCAGATCATCCTATGGGTTTTATGTGCACATGCCCAGGGGCCCAAGCCTAGAGGACACCCATGGGCAGTTATGATAAAATCTGAACAGCTGTCTTGACTCACGGTGGGAACTTTACTAGCGGCACAGAGAAAGAATGAACTAATTAAGCCTTGTTGTTATTTTACAGCCAACCAAAATCCTAATGCAACCATTCTACTAAATGCCATTACCTCTCTCAGTCTTTCATTTTTAGCAGTGAGTTAGCAACTGAATGTACTTTGAATTTGCTCCAGATTCCAGAATTTGCTTTTACTGCCTGTTCAGTAAAAGCCAGACCTCATACTTGACAGAGTAGAGGAAGCCCATTTTCAAGACAAACACAAATTTAAAGTCAGCCTGAGTTAAAGATACAAGATCCATACATAAAGTAATCCAGCGTAATACATAATAAAAAAAAAAAAAACATTTTCCATGCCTGCTGTGGAAGTTTTCTTTGGTGTTGTTTTCTTTGTGTTTTTTTATGTACATTTGAACTTAGTTGGGAGATGTCTACCTAACTGGCATAAAATGATGTCTACTAGGAAACATCGCTATAGATGATGACATCATCACAGGCATGGGTAAGTAAAGAATGCTACTTATGTGCCTGTTATGAGCTAAAAACTGTCCTTATTTAAACTGGAGCTGACATAAAAATCCCAAATAGCGCCAAGCTAACCCCACTGGCTTGACACTAACATAGCTCGCTACCATGGTGAAAAAAAAGATTTCTACATGTGTAACATTAAGCTGTAAACAGGATTCTCTGACTAAAGCGTACCTGCTGTTGGTGTCAACCCAGGTGGGGGCAGGGGGGAGTAGGGATGTGGCACAACACTGTAGTGTCTGTCAGCCATCCACGATGGATGATGGCATTGTTTATCAGCCCAACCCTATTTCAGCTGATTTTAATTGATGCTTTATAAGTAAGTGTTGCATTGGTTGTTGGGTTAACCTGGTTGTTGGGTTAACCATGTTAACCTGTGTTCTTACTAGGTGTGCATAATCTTGTTATTGTTTTTATTTTTTACCACTATAGGGTGTTGAATGATATGGTAACCGCACCCCTGTCCAGGAGCAATAGTCTATAGCCTGATATCATGCCATAGGAAACATCAGGTTTGGAAAATGTATTGTTTGGCACTTTCAGCTGTCTTCATGCCACCAGGGCAGCTCAACACAGTTCCTTGTCGGCTATATATAACAATTTTAAAATCTGATTTGAATTTGTGCATATATTCATGCTTCAGTTGAACTGATTATTAATTATCACTGTGATTTTGAATAACTCCCACTGACCATGACCATGCATAATAAATACTATTAAGAACTGGATTAACTAGTTATGTTGAATGGATTTGGTGTTAATGCAGGGCCAGTACAGATACAGGAGTAACTGGGTATCCAGGATCAACTTAATTGTGAATTGTATTAACTAGCAGATTAACTGCCCATGCAGGATCAATACATGAACAAGTCAAAGTAACTATCTAGGTTTAACAGAAGTCATGAGTAGAACTAACTGACTCTCCAGGATCAGTAGAAGTCATGATCAGGACAAACTGGCATTTCAAGATTGATACTGTCAGAATGTCCAAGATCATTACAGTCATTAACTGAAGATCAACACAATCATTCATACAGTCGATAATGTGACTGTTCACCCAGGATCAATACAGTCATGAATTAGATTACCTATCTATCCAGGATCAATACAGTCATGAACTAGATTAACTGGCTGTCCAGGACCAATACAGTTGATAATATGACTAACTGGCTATCCAGGATCAATACCGTGATGAACTGGATTAATTGACTATCCATAATCAATACAGTCATTAACTGGACCATGACAGTTCATGACTGTATTGACTCTGCCTTAAATCTAGTCATCAACTAAATTAATTGACAATCCAGGATCAATACCATCAGTAATAGGACTGATGACTATCCAGGATCAATACTGTCAAGAAAAGGACTCATTTGGTATCTCAGATTAACACAGTCATTAATTGACTATCCAGAATCAGCAGCTACTGGCTACCTAAGACAAGCAGCTCATCATGCTGTTCAAAGTACTACCAAGTTTGCTAGTGTGCTAACTGATAAGCTTTAGTTAGCTCATAAGTTGATCTGTTAGGTATTTGTTACTGTGGTCAAACATATCCTTACAAAACACTTTTCGGTAACACTTTACTGTAGGGTACTGTTCATAAGGCTACATGACATCTACATAAACTTGTTAAGACAACTGGCATAACCCTACATAACTGTTTATAAATGCTTATTCCAGCAGGCAGACTTGCTGTAAAGGTTACATTTGTCAATTTTGATCAAAGTTAGCTAAAGTAGCCTTTATGACAGATGATGCCTATTGGAATAAGCATATATAAACATTTATGTAGGGTTATGTCTGTTGTCATGACAAGCTTATGTAAGAGTCATGTAGCCTTATGAACAGAACCCTACAGTAAAGTGTTACCCACTGTTTTACTGTTTGCTAAACATATCTAACTAGCCAGATAGCCAGTTAGCAATGCCACTTGGTAAGATAACTGACTAGCCTGTAGGAGAGACTGAATATTATTTATCCACACTGTCACTTATCCATCTGTCAGTGGATGAAATGTCATTAGTAAAATTTTCTACCCATTTGTTTTATCTTAATACATTTTAGTGTGGAAATAGTTCATTAACAATGTATTTGTGGAGTTACCTGTTGTTCTGCATGAGGAGGAGGTACTGGTAAGAATTTGAAAAATGGCAAAGGTGCAGGCTGTTGATATCACAAACTGTTGATTGGAGCTGTTTATCCAGGAAAAGAAAATGAATGAATACCCAGAATGAGGTGCCACTTATAAACATCACATCTTGCTACCTCAAACAAGATCATTAGTTTTAGCTAAGATGTATACTTGCCAAGAAAACAAATTTAGAGGATTTTGTCCTTCCAAACGTGCGCCAGATTCATTCAATTAATTTTTCAATTTAAACTGTTTTATATATATATATATACATATGCACATTTAATATATATATATATATATATATATATATACATAAGTGCAACTCCACTTCATTAAGTGCAACTCCTTGTTTCTACACTCATTGTCCATTTTAACAGCTCCATTTACCATGTAGGTGCACTTTGTAGTTCTGCAATTACAAACAGTAGTCCATCCTTTCTCTGCATATTTTTTTAGCCCCACTTTAACCCTGTTCTTCAATGTCATTCTCAGCACTGCAGTGACATGGTGGTGGCATGTTTGTATGTGTTGTGCTGGTATGAGTGCATCAGAAACAGCATTTATTTGGTTTGACTTTATTACTCTTACATTTGACACTCTTAACGTCTATGAGTATCACAAACAAAGCAATAATAATAATAAAAATAAAAATAATAATAATAATAATAATAATAATAATAATTTATATCTGCTTCTTTATTACTGGTTTACCAGTTTGAATTTATCTATTCAGGTTGCTGATGCTTGGCCAGCGATCTATGTGCCAATATCAAACGCATATCTTCACTATTATTTTATTGCTCATCTTCTGTTATTTACATGTGCTTATGCTGCAAGAACGATATCAAGAGCAAAATGTTAAAACAGATCATGCAGAAAAAGCTCTGCTACATTCTCTGAAAAAAAGACATGAAACTGTCAAACTGTCACTGGGGCAGTACCCCTCTTGTCACTAGGGTGGTATCCTCAAGGGTACATCTAAGTACCTTTAGTCATAATTATACCATATATATATATATATATATATATATATATATATATATATATATATATATATATATATATTTTGTATTGATTCCACACACCCCGTCTCCTCTCCAGGTTTTTTTTTCATTTTATAGTTCGGTTTTAAAACATTAGGTTACGAAAAGGTACAGATACGTACTTTTCACCTGGGAAAAACTTACTTAAGGTACACAAGTGGACCCACTGTTGTAACTTTGTTTGGTTTGGATCATCATAAAAATCTGTTCCTATCAAGTGAACTGAAGCAGGATGCTCTTAGATGCTGACTGAGACCCATTTTTGCTGGACTGCAGTTCAATTCTTTGATGTGGACCTGAATATGGTAGAGTGTTCACATGTTAGTTTAACAAGGTAGTATTAGAACATATTTAAGTTTATATTAGCAAACTGACATACATGAACTGGGACCCAGTGCATTAGTTCATGTATTGCAGTAAAAATCTTTTTACTGTTTTTACCAGATTGCCAGATTTTTTTGTTGTTTTTTACCAGATTTTTACCAGATCTTCTCATTAACCACAAACTCACAAAGGTTTTACTGTTTGAGAAATGCTGAAATTGTCTCTGCCAATGAGTTTGTCCCTGTGCGTCTATAGGTTAGCGCTGTGTGCAGTTTAGGGAGAGAGGAGATTTTCTCAAGTAATTCAATCAAAAAGTGCTGGTTCCCCACCCTGGTACTTTGAAAAGTGGGGGGTAACATGCCTGCTCACCCCTGTGGTTCTAGCAGCAATGCTCTTCATATCTGTACGTCTGTCATCTTGGACAAACATATGAGAGGAATAGATCTACTTCATTCTGTACCACTTTATAAGATGGGTGAATGTCATCTGGTGAGTAGTGACATGATGTCATTTGCCAAACATCAATAATCACAACCGGCAGCTCCCTAAACATCATCCTCAATGCACAGTCCAGCTGCCATGACAACCAGTCGCTGCCATAAATGTCCTTGTAGCCTGTGTTGGCTGACTTGATCAGCACAAGGGTCTGCGGTGCCCTCTGGAGGAGGGCTCGGACCGCTCTGCGGATTCCAGCCAGCCTTTTTAGGTACGTGGCCAGCGGAAAGGTAGTGAAGTGCGCCCAGATGGTGAAGACCACAACAGAATGTTGACCTCCAGCTAGAGCGGCCACCTCGGAGGCAATGTAGTGTAAGTCAGCACGGGGGGTCAGAGAAGTCCGTATTGGAAGGCCATGAGCTCTCCATATTAGTCGAATGTTGTTGCCTGTGTCCACTGCCTCAAACGGTCCAGACTTGGCCGAGGTGTACAGGTTTAGTTGCTTGAGTGCTAAAAGAAGGGAGAAGGATGAGAAGATATCATGTCAGAATGCTAGAACGACATGGATGTTGGAAGGTATTCTTCACACACAAAAGTGTACTGTCCAGGTCAACTTTAGTTCTCACCGATGCGAACAAACAACAACATGTAAACAAGGTACAAAGAGGTCATTAAAGCAGCACTATGTCATTTTTTTTTTTCTGTCAACATTAAAACATAGTAGCATTACTACATAAAAAGAAGGTCTGGCTCGATGTTTGGGTCTTAAATGCAAAATCAACATTACACTGATGACAATGTTAGATGATTCACTTACACCCTCAGAAGACACATCCTTTACCAGGTTTTGAGTTAGTTCTCGCAATAGTTAGATTCATCCACTAGGGTAGGGAGTCTGAAGCACAACCGACATTACAAAATGTTCTTCTGCACATGTGTGCAGTTACACGTTTCCACCAGAGAGGTCTCCAAATCCCCAAAACTTACAAAGTGTTATACTCACAAAGGGGTGAGACATATTGAAAAACAAGGAATACGAAAATGGTATGAGTAGTAGAACTCCAACATGTAGGTTCTTCGCTCTGGGTTGAAAACTGTAGCATAAGTGGTCACTGCGATTTGCTGGTGATGAGTTACTTCCCACTTACTGTTATCTATGGAAAATAGTTTCAGCAGTAAGAAATCTTACTACAATGCAGTTCCATTTACAAGATGTAAACAACAGATGTCCTTTGAAGGCTGAACCATTCCCATGTCATCATGTTTTTTTCAGCTGAACAAGGCTTTCAGTTTGTCTTTCGGCTTTCTCCACATACTACCTCCACATCTAATGAGAAAAGTGTGTTACTCCTTGTACATGTTTTCACCACTCTGAGCTCTGGGGCCTGTGTTCTTGAGTCTTTGAATGGATCACACATTAAATGCTTCATGCTGCTTTAGAAATTAAAATATTATTTTTAAAACATGTTGCATAGGAACAGCTTGGTAATGATCATATATAGTTTTACAGTAATGCAGGGTATTAAACATATAAAAACAAGCATTGTAGAATTTGCATTTTAAAGGAATAAAAGTTTTCTTGAAAATGGCATACTAAGCTAGCATTTTAAGGTTCTGTTTACAGACCAGTCAATGCAGCTGATGAATGTGGGATAATCAATCAAAATTCATGTTCTATCCATGTGCCAATCTCAGTGATAAACTCTTTATGGTGCTTAGTAGCCTGGCTAAGATAAATTAATTAACCTCTAGACTAAAAGAAATCATAATAGCAAAAGGCTGAAAGGGTAGTAATACTGGCCACTGGCCAGGTAATTTAAAATATAGTTTTTTCCAAGTTAGAAGCTGTTATTTAGCTAGTGATTGCCAATGGTGTTAATGTAAGTTGGCTTGGTAGCGAAATAGCTGAATTATCATCTCTACAAAACAGAGAACTGACTAGCTGAAATCTGATTTCAAGGCTCGGTCATTGCTCAGCTAATCTTTCGAGGTCACTGTGCTTGAAAATTGCTGTTAGTCAGCTAGGTAACTAATATCCAGCTTAATTAACAAAATTACCTAATATAAAAAGCAGCAGGAGAGTGAAGGGGACCCTCTTGAAATAAAGGTGCCAAAAAGGGTTCTTTGCATGATTTTGCTATAGAAGAACCACTTTTGATTTCTTGAAGAACCTTTTAATTAATAGTTCTGCAGAGAGCCATTTTTGTAAATGAGATATGTGATTGTGAAAAACCTTAAGGTATGAAGAAGAAAGTCTAAGAAGAACCATTACATTGGTATAGCATCCTTACATTTAAATGCATTAATTTCAGCTCAAATTTTGCTTTCAAACACAGTTCATTAGGGAACCAAAAGAGGCTCTTGCATCAAACAAAACTTTGTAGGACCTTTATTTTTAAGTGTGTATTTGCTACATCAACCTGTTGTAAAACAGAGTGAAATAAAGTTAGAACAGCTGTGTGTAAATGACAGCAAAGAAAAGGAAACCTGACAATTGAACTTCCTTTAGAAGCCAAACGCAAAGTGCCAGCAAGAAGTCAAGCATTGTTTTTGCCTCCAGCATTTAATGGACCTGAATATAGCTGCTCAGCTGCTAAACACATTTTTAAAGCATACAGACAGTAGATTATGTTGTACAACATATGTGTATATGTTTCAACAATTTAATGGGGCTCTTATATCTATGTTCTTAATATTTAACCTTTTTATCCATGAAATTCAGTAGAAAGGAGGAAGAACATGTTGGTTGAAATGTACTATTCTAATTAGATAAGGCTTTATAACAGTGAAGTGCATGTAATGATACCACTAGTTCTATTGCTGAGGTTGGTGAGCTGTTTTGTATAAAGCTAATGGTAATGAAGTTGCAACACAAGTTATGACGCTGTAATAAAACTGTAAATAATTCTGGTAAAAGGCAGAATGCTGCATGTCCATGTAAAAGATGATTTTATTTTAATTTATTTTTATTTATTATATTAAATAATTAAAAAAATATTGAAAATCCATAATTATAGCCAATTTCAACATGGGTTACATTTTAGATGACTAGATAGTTCCCTTTTTCTAATCAAAATATTCTAGTTTTGATTTGTAACAAAAATTTGCACACATTTTTTCAATGCTATTTTTTACTATGAAACACCCAACAAAATGGAGAAAGAGGAGTCTGACAGGATTACTCAGCAGCAATGACATGGAAATTAAAGAGTCAAAAGTTTTAAAATCTTTGTTTAGCGATGTGTTTCAACAGTTATTTTAGCTGCTGTTGTACATTTTCCCTTTTCTTTTTTTCGTAGTTATTTCCTATCTATTCTAGCCCTCACTAAACTAAAGAGTCCCCTCATGACGGGTCACATGGCTAGCAGATGTCCACCTCAATTAGGTGTTTCCTAACTTACAGTGCAGAGGGGTTCTTGTCCCTAGTAGGGGACTAGAGCAGAATGTCTACTGTCCTCAGTATGCGCACAAACAGCTACTTGTATACCTCACAACAGACTATTTGTTGTCCTGATTGCTCTTAACAAGCAATAGCTGTAGGACAAATACTATGTCCCCATTGGAAAGCTGTTGGTCAGACTGGGTTTAAAAGAGATAAGGAGTGCGCTCTTTTCAAATAAAGAATAGCCTTCCTGCAAAACCTTGTCCTCCTGACCTCTCTTCCTGCCGAAAGACAAAGACTTACAACACTGCTTTACTAAATACGTAGTTAGCAAAGTTCATGCCAGCCAGTTAGCCAGTCCAGTGTGAGTGAGAAAACTTTGATAAGCAAACATATATTTCATTCAGTATTGATGATTTGGTCCATTATTTCCATGCTTGAGAAATATTTGTTTTGATCCATAGGGACTTTTCAGAGCCTTTATGAATCAACTAAACTGGCTAGCTAGCCTGATATCTCTGTTTTCTGTCCCTTTCCAGTTTGTCTCAGGCTCTTTACACTGACCGAACAAGTGTGTGAGGACGCTTCTCATACATTATCGTTGAGCAGTCACAACTAGAGCCAAAACTAACTTTGCTTAATTGTCTTTGTATAAATGCTGGTTATCTCTTACTTCTATCTTCAGTTCAGTTCAGTTCAGTTCAGTTCAAAGAAACATGGAGACTTTGTGAAACTGTAGCTGGAGAAAGTTCTTAGATTAGTTATGCAGCCTTAAGCAATGTGGGTATGACATGGTGATGATCACATCCATTGCTAGGATATAATAGTGAAGAACTTCAGTAGTTGTTATAGACAGCTCATTTCATATTCCTGTTCTTTACATCCAGGTATTCTCATTTTTACAATGTATTTTCAATACTACAAGTAGAATGCCTTTTACAATTTCAGTGTGCATTACCCCTTCAGAGCTGAACTGACAGCTCTGTGTTAATTTCTATCTCTAGGATTTGTTTTCATATGAAAGAGGTGGGAGTCGGCTTTAAAGTGAACTTAACTAGTAATTGTCTTTTTTGCTGGTTTTGTGATTAAACCATTTTGTTTAAAAAAGCAATCAACGAGTATCTGACTTTGAAAACTGTCAGGAATCCACAAGAGCATTCTAAAATTCTGCTGTGGGTTAAAGATGCCCTACAATCAAAATTGTGTTTTTAAATGGTTAACTCCTCTTGGATGGCTTAATACGGTAATATAGACTATTTGTATAAAATGTGCTACACACCACATTTTTCCAGTCCCTGAGATCCAAGCACAGATGATAGCTGCGGGAAGCAGCATGACGCTGCGCTGCCAATAGCAAACCAGGACCAGCTGGTTCTCATTAAAGGCAGCATGAGCATGTGAGCCAAAAAGAGAGAAAGAACTTGTTGCTCGACTCCCCCTGCTCTGTGGCCTCAGCCATCATATCCCACGGCGTTAGCATGAAGTGAGATTTGGCCACTACGTCTGAGGGAGGGACTTGATCACCAGACTTTGCTGCTTCCCTTCCAGCAGCAGTAGACTATCATGTAACAGTTTCACTAAAAGTTTATTTCAACTCACTAAAGCCTTACTGATGGAAGTTTAGAGAATAAAGACTAAAATCTGAGCAAGTAAACCTGCATGTTTGTGTGTTAAGTGGTTAGCCTAAACTATTTTTGCTCCACATTCAACCATGTTTGCTAGAAGCTAGCGTTAGCCTAGTGAGAAAACCTAAGCTTTGCACAAAACTATGCAAGTTCATTCTGGCTCACTGAGACTCACTTTTGACCCAGATTTGGGCAGATGACATGTATTGTGTGCTCTTAGCCTAAGTTACTCTTAATTTATATCCCCTAGAGCACCTGAGGCTAGACACAGCACATATGACACAGCAAAGCTTCTGGAGTTTTTAAAGAGCTCAGTGTCACTGATGGACTGATGTACACCAACCAAAAATATCCAGCCAGCGCAGCAACAAAGCTATTGTCTCCTATACATCTACAAGGTGGAAAATGTCAGTGTCACTGCAGTTCTAAGAATGATCCACAACTCAAATAATACTGGCTCTGTGGTGGTCCTGACCATTGGAGAATGCAGTAAAAAGGGTATTAAGAAACATATGTGGAAAAAAGATACAGTTTGTCATTGTTCAACAACTCGGTTGGATGCTTCAATAATATTTTTAATAAATTCCACAACCCTTTGGCAACAAAGCAAATCCTTTAGGTTGGGGTTGCCAGCAAGCTAGCTATCTTGTTAACAATAAATAGCAATAACACAAAAGTAGACTTTAAAATTACTGCTGTTATATATAACATTTTGTTTGTGTAAAGTGTGAATCAAATAAATTCCATGTATTATTATTTTTTTATGTATGTTTTGCATATGTGACATACTTGGGACAGTTTTCAGCAGATACTCGTACCACTGTCTCAACGTGGAATCTCCCATCATCAGAACCTGCTTGTCTTTCAAGCATATTGCAATCTGATTGGCTGTAGGGAAAGACTGGGCATGGCACATCAGCGACGTCCATTTATCATTCAGGTAGAACCCAGCTGGTGAGGGTGCGTCTAGTCCTGGAACACACTTCACGCTCCTACCTTTACACACACATGCACACACACACGTTCAGACACATGCACATGTTTAAACAGTGAGTTGGACAGTTTTTGCTTTCTGTCATGTTCATCACTATGCAATACGTTCATAAGCCAGAGGCAGATCCAGGCAAAGACATGAATGGGGCCCTTCTCAAATTACAATTTACAGCTAATATAAAGCGAGATTTCATTTCATTCATATTTCTGCACAGTTAACTGGTTAAATTGTCAACAGTCATTCAGAGTTCTTTGATGTGAAAGAGTGAAAGTGTTTACATGCGCTTAATAATCCCATTTAGCAGTTATCTGATTACTCAAGTGGACATACAAACAGCATATTCAGATTTCTTAGCTCATATAAGGCCTAGTAATATAACAAAGAAATCTGATAAAGAGATTTTGTTTTTTGCTCAGTAGTCAGGTTTTCAAAGCATGTATAGCCTCACTCTGATTTTTGGAATTTTTCTCAGTCTGTGCACGTGCAAAAACAGACTGCTGTCCCAGAAACAGCAAGCAACATTTAAAACAGTACTTGTGAAATGGCAACAAAACAAGGCTGAAACCAACTACATGCTTGACAAAATGAAGAATCTGAATGTTCTTTATCTTCTAGATGATGTAAATTCACGTTTTCTGCCAAAGTGTACCAATGTTTTAGCTGAAGCATGACATTTGAGTTTTACATTACATTTACATCATCTTATTCTGTGAGTTTATTGGCTGGTTGCAAAGCAGAAATCCAATTACTGTTTTGCAACTGATTGATGTACACCTGGAGCTTCCCCATTATCTGATCACCCAAGTGCATGTGAGCGTGTTAAATTAATAACTGACAAAATCAAATTTTCTGCAGCTGTCTGATTACTAGATGCATGTAATCACATTCATTGCTGTGGAATCACATACCAAAATGGAATATTCCCATTATAGCCTAGACTGGGAGAGGAATTATTGTCAGCACTGAAAATAATCACTATAATAACAAATAAACGCCCTTTTAGTATGCTTCATTTTTTGGCATTATGGTCATTTAAAACAATTGTTCAGTGAAAGATCAAGTCCCTTTACCCTGACCACTTCTTACTGTTTCTGTGGCCATTAAATATAATCTTGTCAAAATGTTCTCAGCTTTGGAGACTGTCTTTTTGTGCAGGCACTTACTTGAGTTCAGGTCATGATGAGACACATTCACTGTGATATCTCCAGGTAGATATTTATTGGTGTAGTTACTGCAGACAGAAGAGGGGAAAGAGTTTTCTGTATTAATTGTAAAAGTATTCACATTTGCAAGTGCACAGCTGATAAATCAGTGTGAGTGCAGAAGTATTTTTCTGTGCACATGAAGTCTTCAATGAGCTACAGGTTTTTTTGTATTTTTTGCATTTATTTCAGTGGAAATAATGGAGTGTTCAGTGGAGCTTTATCAGCCCTCCAACTCTTCCTAGAGGTATTCTGTGGTGCTTTGTCACTCCAACTTACACCAAAGGTGTTCACTGGATCTTCATCACTTTAACTCATCTCAAAGATATTCACAGCATCTTCATCACTCCAGCTCAGAATTTAAGAACCTTATTTTCACTGCCAATTGTCAGAATAAGTTCCAAGGTGTACCTAAATTTGTGAGAAGGTACTCAGACATCCAGGCTGGCCCAAGATATATTTTGATTATGCCTATAACTGTATTCAGAGGGAGTACATAGATTTAAAACACTGTAATTGTTTGGTTTAAGCCATGTTTCAGTTAAAAAGAGAAAGCTTAAATCTTTGGCCTTGAGAAAATATGTACATTCATGCCCTTGTGAGTGAGAGATCTTGTGTTTAGTAAACCCAGGACTAATCATGTTATGTAAAGACTATATTACTTATACTTTAGGGTGATTTGCTAGGTTAGCACAACAATACTGCTTCATCCTAAAGAACCCTAGTGGGGAGGTGAAGGTGAAGGATTCTATGGTAGGTGTCCAACACAAGGTGTTGAGAATAGTTTATGACAAAATTAAACATAAAGAGAGACTTTTCTCTTTTTTAAGGCTATAAGTTCTCAAACCAGCCTTAAGGACCGTCGAGATGGTCCATGTTTTTGCAAACACACACACACACACACACACACACACACACACACACACACACACAAATACAACCACCAGGTTTCTGTTTGCTTTGCAGGGGATCTGTAGTGTTTGCTGCTGTGTGGCAGCAGTTGCCAGTCCTCTAAGAGATAGTGTCCTGTTACAGTCACTTAGGAATCGACTGTCCTAGACATCCATGCATTGCAAGTTAATGCAATCCTTTCTGCTGTACTCATAGATTCTTCAACTTCAAGCTTTACTTCTCTGAAGAACTTTGATACAACTGTGTTGGTGAAAAAAGTCACATACCTGGCTTCTAGTGTCTCATGCATGTAACAAATTTTCCACAACGTTATACGGAGGCAGATCTTTGCACATGAAGTAGGTGATGGATTGTGTTATTTTCTTAGCTCTCAGAATTGGAAGGTAGCTTTGTCAAGCTAAGTGTGTCCAGTGTTGTTTGTTTTAATCGAGCCGTTTCAATGTTGGCTTTGCTGTCATTGGTTAATGCAATCTCTGGATGGTGGCATGTAAAGTGAGCCCTCATGTTCATAGTATTTTATTTTCATACAACAATCCTTTCAAACTGCATGGGTGATATCTATGTCCTTCATCCCTTCCTTGTTAAAAAATCCAAAATAATCCGCATGTTTGATTTAAACATGGACGACGCATTTCTGATTTTTTTCCGATCTTTGTTTTGACTTCTTCCACTGTCACTTTGGCTAAACTTACTTACCTAACCTAACCTAACCCTAGTGGACTGAAAAAGCAATTGATTTTAATCAATCTTGTACCAAAAAGTTTAATGTGTATTTGCAATTAATATAATTAAATACTGATACTTGGCATCAGTATATCGGTACAGTATTTCCAGGCAATGTATTGTGATAATATGCTGTATTGATTTTGCAGCATTTACCTGTGTAACAGTGTGGACTCCAGTTTGGACAGCTGTGCTTGGTAGCCCCCTATGATATGGTCCACCCAGGCTGAGCATGGCAGACGGCTGGGTTTACGACAAATCCATGATTCTCCAGTAATTGGATTTTTGTATTCACAGCAGCATTGAGAGTTCTTTAGCAACCTCTCACTCCTCTGGGCATTACACACCACTTTTTCCTCAATGTTGAACCTTCTGAACACGCCCTTGAAGAACACCTTGTCTGGATCTCGCTCTCTGTGCCTAAGTAGCACCTGTAATCCCAGCAAAAAAAAACTCAAATCAACACCATTACATTTAGTTCTCCTCCTCAAGCTCAGACCAGTTAATGTTCATAGTAAAAAGAAATTTACAGACGTTTTCTCCATTCCTGCTAAATGTAGCCAATCAACAAAAACATGTTTGGTGTCTGATGTTTGCTTCTTTAGTTTTGCACCGGAGCTATGTGTGCAATGTAGCTAACACACCCCATCAATTAGCAAGTGTGCAAACTGCATCTCTACATTTGCCTTGTAATTTCAGTTCAAAACTAAAGAAACAAACTTTAGACTTAATGTAACAAATAATTTTCTCCATGTCAGAGTAGAACCTGTCATTCCAGCAAAAAAACAGGTGAAATTAGATCCATCTCGCTTAGTTCCAGTCTCCTCCTCAAGTTAATTTCAGTTAATGTTCATGAAATCCTGCTTCAAATGTAGTTGATCAATCTAATTCTTGCCTAAGGTTTGTTTCTTTAAATTTCCATTAAAGCTGAGGGGGCTAATGAAGGTAACAAGTAATGGAAGATTCACCAACAATTAGCATCATGCAAGCTGTGTAGCTACATTACAATTCAAAAAAGTAAAGAAGCAAACTTCGGACACCAAACATTTGAGGTAAGGGTGAATTACATAAATTAGATTTTTTCGACAAACGACCACTTATATTAGTTCTACACAGCACTGCATTTGCTGCCCACTTATTAGGTACTCTCCACTAATTGTCCACTTACAATATAGGTGGGCTTTGCAGCTCTACAATTACAGACTGTAGTTCATCCAGGGACGCAATGTTATTATCAAGTTAGATGTTTTTTTTTTAAGTTTAAATACAATATTAAGCTGTTTTTGGTCTCTGGCCTCTATTTCTGGATACACTTTATTTCATTATACATCAACCTGTGTGTTTTTTAGTGATGCCATGATGCCATGCTGTTGAGGGACATGCTTCGGCTCACTGTAATGAAAATACAGCGTTAACTTAACCGGTGCACAGCTATGGTAGATTTTGAAAGTATATAAATGAAAATAGAAAAAATAAATACTCCTCTGTAAAATATGCACACATTAGTCTTTACTATGCTAATTATTACATTGTGTAGATCTCTTTATTATTATTTTTAATATTATTATTATGAGATCAGGAGATGATGCAGCACCCTCAGCAACCCCACTTTCCACATCCCTGAGTCCATCTGTTTCTCTGCAGAATTTGTAAGCTTCCCTTTCAACCCCATGTCAATCCAACCATTTTCCAAAAGGGTTATGACTGTATACTGTAACTGTATTTATGCTTAGTTGCATTTATTCTAATGATGTGGTGTTTTTACAAGCAAAAACATTCCTATTGTCATGAACAATGTTTTCTAATAATAGGCTTGGTCACTAGGATGTTTGCACTGTACTGTATATGGCAAGTGCATCTGATAGGGTAAACAAAACCTGTATATACATGGTAGCGGTACCTCATAAAGTGGTCGGTGAGTGTATAGTGCCCTATATAGTTGGTGAATACACTCTTTAAAGCACTACCCTACACACCTGTACAGCCTCACTGGAGTGTATCATCCGTATTGAGACTTTGGCTTGTCCTTCCCAGGACAGCCTGAAGGTAGCAGTATAAGTGCCGTTGTGGTGGTCAACCACCTCCCCATATACACTTGCTTTTAGTTCTGCATTAAACAGCTTTGCTTGGAAGAAATCTCCGCCGTATGCTTTTGAGTTGTTTAAACCATCTCTTGCTGTTATGATCACTGTGATATTGTCCCCAACACTGTAGTTTTTGTGTGGGTTCTGCAAAACGTATGAGCTTGTATGAGGACTAGTGGTCTGATTGGCTGCAATCACAGAGGTAGGAGGAGCTGGCCACTTCAGCGCCTTTTCTATGGATTGGAATTCTGCAGGCGAGATGAAGGTGGGGTCAGTTGAACAGATGTGAGCAGAGTCAGACTGGGAGGCAGTTGGACAATTGGACAAGTTTGCAAGCTTTTTGTCCATCGATGGGACTGGCCTTCTCTCTGGTACTATTTGTGATATGTTGCTTATGAAATCACCAGACAGTCGTTCCTGCAATAAAGGATCAACAATGAGTTAGCCAGCACTACAACCAGGCCAAGTACATGCATGCACACTGGCAGTAAAAGTGACTTACTGATTATGATGTGCTTATCATGTCTGTTGGCTTAAAGGATGATATTCCAACAAGACAATGTAAGATACCACAAAGTTTGTTAAGTGAAATTCAGACAAGATTACTATGGATGATCTGTGGACAGCAGTGAAGAACATGTGGGATACAGTTACAGGTTATATGTCTTCATTTTAACTATATATGCTATTTTTAAATGCAAAAATATACTTGCATAATGGTTTCAAATAAGAAGCTAAGTGCCTAGCATGTTTGCAAAGTTCTGCATATGGTAAGTAGACCTGATAAAATGGACAATTAGTCTAGATACAAGGTAGGTGTTGCTAATAATTTGGCCAGTGAGTGTATAGTGCCCTACACAGCTCGTGGATACACTCTTCAAAGCACTAGCCTTTACACCCCTACAGCTTCATGCAATGTATCAGCCATACTGAAACTCTGACTAGTCCTTCCCAGAACAGTGAGTCATGGACAAAGCAAATATAGTCTACAACACGACTTACATGTGGCTGTCCAGAGAAAAACATTTAGCTCCAAACCTTTATATTTACTGGTGAAGGCAAAAACATTTTAACTTTTGATAAGATTATATAAATACATTTTATTCCAAGTGGTGTTACTGCAGTTAGTTCAGTTGGTCCATACATCATAAATCTTTAGACAACGTAAAGGACAACTGTTGGGATGAAATAAAAAATAAAAATTTACAAAAACGAAGGTGCATGCTTTTTTTGAACAGTGACATTAGGGCGCATTTCATCTCATGTTGTTGAGTTTAGTTCTGCTTCAATGTTATAGCAGGCTGGGGGTGTTGGACTGAGGGCTGTCAATCAAAGGTGCTTTTCAGAATATTAGGCCATGCCACAACAGTTCTCAGATAGGTCCGATTTTTAATTGACACTTTGTAATTTTAGTATGATACAAACATTTTCACTGTGCTCCCTGGGACATAAGTAACCAGACAGGATAAACATATCAAAACATTTGCTAAACATCATGACATATGTCCATGTGGGCTTTTTTTTTTTTTGACCGCCAGTTGACATATCAGTTTACATTTCATTTGACTTTTTCCTTCTTTGTGCAGGTGGATTGTATAATGTCTGTCCTCCTCAGAAATATCTCTTGAAAAATGTATAACTTAGTGATAATTTTGACCAGGCCTTTGATAATTAAGGCATAGTCTCTGACTTTTGCACAGCACTGCATATCAGCTCAAAACAAAATTGTAGTGGTCTATAATTTTTTATTTGGTTCAATGCTCTGTGAAGTTCTGTAAAGCTTGTCCAACTTTGCAACAGTGGCTATGTAACAACATTTGTGGGCAGATCATGAACAGGTTTATTTAAATACTGTCCCAATTCAAATATTTCACAATTGGTTATAATATTGGTATATTGTTAGAACTGAGAAATTTTGTGCATGTATTCTTAAATATGTAGCTAAGGATTTCTTAAATCCTCTAGCTACAAAAATAACTATGTGAAAGCCCACAGTAGGATTGACACCCTCCTCCAAAATTACAACATTCCCCAAATTCTTTTCAATTCAATTCAGTTATTAAGCAGTACATGCAGAAGCAAGTTCATGCCAGCATACTTTTTTATGATTATAGTGTTTCGTTACATTTTGCAGTCCTGTTAACAGTGTTCAAATGTTTGCCTAGTAGGTGTGTCCAGTACATCAGTGAGGAACTATTAATCAGTTGTTTTCATGGTACAAAAAATTGTATGCCTTGTGTTGAAGTTATAGTGATTTGTATTCAGAACTTACCCTAAACAACCAAATGATGACTAAGCTGACAGTTAAGATAATGACAAGCCTGATCAGCTGTTTCCACATTTTCCAGTTTATCTGCTGGAGAGGACAAAGTATTACAGTAAACCATTTGGGTACCTTCTATCATCAGCATCATCATCATCATCATCATCCTTATAAAAATCACCACCATCAATAAAAACAACATCAACAGCATTATAGTGAGGGGGCTACAACTGTAGCTAAAGAAAGCTACAGAATGCCTGCAGACCATCAGTACTCTGGAAATCATGTGAAATAGCTCACATGAGAGTTCGACCATGTACATTTTGAATGCACAGTGAATTTCAGACTGTGCTACTGAGATTTGTAGGTTGTATTATATATGAATTATATTTAGATCAATTTTCCAGAACTGTTCTATCATGTTTGGCAATTGGGGGAAAAAAAATAGATGTTATTTTCACTTAGGAAATCAAAAGAATATCATTTGACTGAGGTGCCAAAACTTTTGCACACAAGTCTATGTGAATGTATTAAAGACTGTACCTCATTATAGGCTGAATATCATCAATGAATTATCAACCAGACCAGGCTTAGCATACTGAGCTGGATGATATTTCATAGTAATATTAGTAACATAGCAATAGAAGTATGATTGGAAGATTGAAAAAAATTAAAATGTAGTACGTTATTTAGCATACAACAGAAAACATGATTCATTAGAAAACATTGTTTTTAAAGTGTCCTGTCTCAGGACTAGAAAGCCTAGCAATGTCCCAGCATGTATGCACATTCACTTTTTGGGTGCATGTGGCAACAGAAACAGTAATAAAAACAATACAGATGCTGTTTATCACTCATACTACTGCTGTGATTGTTCATATATTAAAAGATTTTAGTAAAGTAGTGGCACCCGGACTGTTGTTTTGGATCGGCATGACAAATTGCACGTAGGCCAGACTTTGAATTTCACTACTATGGATGGTGGCTACAACTTAATTACAACAACTTCAGAACATAAACAAAATCAAAACAAATAACAAATAACACATTTTCTGGCATTTCTGCCTTTAGATTTAATGATCCACATTCCGAGTTGGATAACTAAGTTGGATACGTTTTTGTATTGAACTATTAACACCATTGATGAAAAGGAGCTAAAAGCAATATATTTAATAAACCACACATGTAATGAATGAAATTCCAGACTTAAATAACAGAGTAAGCAGCATATTTTAATTTTTGCACCATACTTTGGAACAAAAACATTTTCTTTGGTAACACAAAACAGGTTTCAAAAATGTTTGACATTTCCATTATCAATATTTGGCGAAGACTCTCCTAGTAAGAATAACATCACTTAGCAGCTTTGGCTTTCTGTCTTAGTTATGTAACGGGTTGTGAATACGGATTCAAAAAAATGTTTATGTAAATTTCTGGTAGTGATAGGAATGCTAGCAGAAGTTAACAGTATTGTAGAGTTTTTTCATCATGTTTTGACCAAATTCAATGTAAAAGTCAAAGTCCAAGTTTATTTATATAGCATTTTTTTACAACAGGTATTGTCACAAAGCAGATTTACAGAAAAATCGGTGTACAAGTCCCCATGAGCAAGCCAAAGATGAGAGTGGCAAGAAAAAAAACTCAAAAGGGGAACCCATTCTCCTTTGGTCGACACTGGATAGTAAATAATAACAGCAGAGAATTAGGTTAAGATGCGGAAAAAGGAGAAAAGCAGGAGAAGCAATGTCTATGTTTAAAAAATGCAGCAGTTTCATCAGCAGGGTCAGTGGCATGCAGATGAGGTTTGCACAGCATTCTACAGCAGGGAGCTCCATGGTGGTCAGACTGGTCCAGAAGGCTGGCAAGCAGTGGGCACCCGATCAGGGCGGATGAAGCAACAGCATCAGACCGCACAGGATGGGCAGTTGTTCAGCTCGGCAAAGAAACACACAGGCAGTTAGTTCTGTTAAGAGCGACTGATTACAGTGTACAGTGTTAACATAGTGCAGCAGAGACTCCAGCAGGTCTAGCTATTACAGTCTAACTAAAGGGAGAGCCAGAAGTTAACAGACATGATGGCTCCCTGAGATGTGAACACGCCTCTGCTGCACCATCAACAAATTTGAGTGAACATGTGAAGGCAAAGGGATGACAGCACCAACACTCCCAGTTTACCATAATACTCTATGTCCATGAACCCCTAGATCTGCAGCCTCTATCTAAACAGGAAAAACTAATTACCAAAAGCCTGACTAAACAAGTAGGTTTTTAGCCTATACTCAAGCCACAAGACTCAAACACTGTCTGGTAATTTATTCCAAAGCTGGAGGGTTTTGCATGAACAGGCTCTACCCCATGATGTAACTTTATTAATTCTAGGTACTAATAGTGAGTCAGCACTGTGTGAGCTAAGTAGGTGTGATTGTCATAGTAAGAGGTAAGTTCACTCAAGTACTGAGGGGTGAGGCCGTTTAGAGCTTTACATGTAAGTAAAAGAATTTTGTACTCAATGTGGAATTTAACTGGCAACCAGTGTAGGTTTCATAAAACTGGGCTGATCTGTCATCAGGAGATCGCGAGTTCGATCCCTGGTGATGCTACAGCCATCCGTAGCCGGGAGTCCGAGAGAGCACATGTGCTGATGTGGTAAAACTTTCAAGTTCTTGTAACGAGCTTGTTGAGGCTTTTGCTGGAACATCCAGACAGCAGGGCATTACAGTAATCCAGCCTTGTGGTAATACATCCATGAACTAGCTTTTAAACAGTAGCTTTTAAAATAGCTTTTAAACGGTAACTAATTAAACAGTTTCTAGCAGCTTTTAGACCAAGAAGAAGAACCTCTGTTTCGTCTGAGTAGGAGGAAGTTACTCAACATCTAGTCTTTTATGTCTTTTACACAATCCTCAGTCTTATTAAGTTGAAGTTTATCATCGTTTTTGGTTGATATATACAATTGTGTGTCATCAGCGTAGAAGTGGAAATTGTTGCTGTGTTTACTGATAATGGTACCCAGTGGTAGCATATATATAATGTGAATAATAGAGGTCCTAAAACAGAGCCTTGCAGAACACCATATTGTACTTTTGCAAGAACAGATGATTCACTGTGTACATTTACAAACTGATAGCGATCAGTCAGCCTGTCTAGTAAGATAAAGTGATCTGTTGTATCAGATGCCACAATAAGATCAAGCAGAAGCAGCAAAGATGCATTTCCTTGGTCAGTTTCACTGCTGTCTCTGTACTATGAGGGAGTCTAAATTCAGACTGGATTTTTTTTTATCTATGTGATTCCTATGCAAATAGGAGCTTGGTTATTTCTGGCAAAATTTCTTTGAGTAAACTTGTAAGAATTGGATCTAATATGCAGAATATGTAGAAGATTTTGAGGAAGAAATCATTTTAACCAGCTCAATTTGTTGAAGTAAAGTAGACGATCTCTGCATCTTAATAGAATGATGAGGTATAAATGTTATATATGAACATACAGTGTGAGTCACTGAAAAAAAAAAAGATTTCTAAAATCGCACAGTGTATGTCTGGCTTTGGTCTGGCTTTGCTTTAGCTTTGTCTGATCTCTTATAAGCAATTTTTGACCAGAATCAAAAGTACTGAACAGTGGCTGCTTTTGGTTTTGTGTATCCTGTTTCATCTGCACATGCAGCCACAAGTCAGGTTTTATGAGGTCCAGACACAATCTTGGATTTCTCCTGAAGAGCATAGCTGGCAACTGACCCATAGTTTAATGAGAGAGAAGTGTTTCTGTAAGCAAGTAAAGCTTTTGCTATCTTGAAATGAGGTCATGTCTTTGTACATGGCTATCAAAGACTGCTGAAATGACTGAACTTCTCCACAAGGCCATTCGTGGCTGGATGGTAATGGACAGAGGTAATGTGCTTGATACCTTTTTTTTTTTTTTGACAAAAGCTTGGAACTCCTCTGAACTAAACTGGATTCTATGTCAGTCACCAGCTGTTCTGGGAAGCCAGTATGTGCAAACATACCACAGAGACTGTCTTTCTCTATGAAAATTTTGGCCATTTTGAGTATGCATTAACTGCTACCAGAATCATCTGGCCAGGGAAAGGTCCAGCATGTTCAATGTGACTCTGTTGCTAGACTGTCGATGGCCATTGCTATGAGTGTAAAGGAGCTTTCTGGGGTTGCTGCTGGGTTTGTTGACACCCTGAGCATGTCTTAGCCATGTCTTCTATTTGACGGACAAGCCCTGCCATATGTAGCTTCTGGCCAGCCTCTTCATTTTAACAACACCCAGGTAATCTTTGTGAAGTGCTTTCAATACTTAAGAATTAGGCCTAGGTGGCACAGTCTTTCTCGTACCCCACATAAGACAGCCTTGAGAAATAGACAACTGTTCGCGCCTAACTGAATATTCAAGAATCTGTGGATCACCCACAACAGACCACCCTTTTCTGGTCAATTTGTGCACCTTGACTAGCCCTGGGTCTCGGCTCATCTCTCTCTGTATTTGAATGAATGCTTTAGCCTAATTACAATTAGCTGGGCTTATTGACCTTGATGTAAATGTGACATCAGACCCGTTAGGCATGCAATGTGTAAACCGTGTGCCATTGCCATATGATGAAGCATCACAAGCTAGGCACAGGGGAAAACTGAGGTTATAATGAGTGACCATGTTTTCTGAAGTTATCAACTCCTTCACTTTTCAAAATGCTTATTCACAAGTTTGTGTCCATTTCCATTTGATCTCCAGCTGCAACATGGATAGAGGACCATGAGAGGATCAGCAGAACTTTCTGGTAATTTATAAGACCCAGAAAGTAACACAACACAAAAAACAAAACAGAAGTCCATTTGCATCAAAGCGACATGCAGGTGTTTGCAGAATGCCACAGAGTTCACCCCAGCTCATTTGTGCATCACTCTCACCATCCATCCATTTCATTCAGGGGTACATTCCCCCCCACTCATCAAAATCCAGAGCTATTCTAACTCAGCTATAGACTGTAACATTACTATAGAGAAAGAGTGAGAGTGATAGAGAGAGCTTGAGAGTGAGAGAGTGTGAAAGAGTGTGCCCATAAGAAAGACAGAACAAGAAAGAGCACAAGA